GTGGGCTCTTATCTGTAGCAGTGTGCATGTTCTGGTCTAATCTGATTTGTAAGGTAGAATTGAGGTCATGATAGTGGGGGGAAGGAAGCACCAAAGAACTAGAGGAAAGTTGTGTGTTTCATCGGTGCTATACTGCACCCTGACTGGCTCATCTCTTCCCTGTGATAATGACTGTTTTAACTATATAAAAAAAATGATATGCTAAAAGGTAGTTTTTATTTTATGCAGTTAATACTTTAAAAGGGTGCACAAAACTAGATTATGGGGAAAAAACTAGATTATGTTACAAGGAAGAGTTTAAAAATATTAATGAAAACATATTAAGAATAATTGAAAAAATCCAATAAAACTATTTTTAAAAGCTATTTCCATATTGCTTCCTGTTTGACATCCTCACTTGCAAAATTCTTTGCTTTATCTGAGCATCTTGGGCTGTGTGATTTACCCTTAACCATCTTTGCACTGTTAGAGTAGGGTCCCATTCCTTCAGAGGTAGGCCAATTAGCCGATAGTCATTGGGATGGATAGACTAGAAACAGGCAGCTTCTCTTCTCTGAACATAACATGTTTATCTTTGAAAAAACCCTTTTCTGCTTCTGCTGGGCTTAGAGAACTTGTTCTGACAATGTTTTTAGCTCTTTGAACACTTTCAGGAATTGCATCATTCACTCATAATCTCTGGTGGGAATTTGGAGCACAACACAAAGCGGAAACAGATGACAGCTTGCCACTTTCTGTTGTCTGGCACTTTTCTCCTTACGATATATGTTTGCTGACTGGGAAACAAACACAAGGGAATAAAAATGTAGTATTTCATCAACAGTATATTGAGTTTGGGGAAATGAATAAATAAATATTACAGCATAGTTCCATCTAAGTTTTTATACTTATGGATGATAGGAACATGACTGTGAGCACTTAGAATAACTGTTGCACAGATGAACATTCAAAAAGAGTAAAGGATGTCAACTCGTGATTTCTACATTGTGTGGCTCCCCAGCTGCCCACCTTAGAGAGAACCCTGGTTACAAGTGCAATTTAAAATAAATAATTTTATTGGGGGCTCATACAACTCTTATCACAATACTTACATACATCCATTGTGTCAAGCACATTTGTACATTTGTTGCCATCATCATTCTTAAAACATTTGCTTTCCACTTGAGCCCTTGGTATCAGCTCCTCATTTTCCCCCCTCCCTCCCGGTCCCTCCCTCCTTCATGAACCTACAAGTGCAATTTTAACAACTGGTTTGAGAACCGGTTGAATACCACTACTGAGTGACTGGTAATAGATAGTCAATATATACATCAATGATCATATGAAAGAAATGTATATAAGTAAATAAATGGAGAATAATTCATGGTGTTTTCATTGAGGCAAAATTGAAGGAGAGAGGTGAGAAGGAAAGAAACATATATACAAATGTGCTTGACAAAATGGATGTATGCTATGGATTGTGATAAGAGCTGTAAGAGCCCCCAATAAAATGATTTTTTTAAAGGCCCCAATATGCATTTGATTTCTAATTCTGTATGTGTATTTATATAAAATGTATTGAAAATAGGAATCCCCTTGAATAAAACTGAATCCCCTTCAGTATTTTGACCACCCGTGAACACAAAATGAATATTTGAAAATATCAAACTGCCTTTCTGACTAGGACTAAGCCTGGTGGCACTGTGGGTTAAGCATGACACTGCTAACTACAAGGTCAGTGGTTCAAACCCACCAGCTGCTCTGCTCCATGGGTGAAAGCTAAGACTATCTTCTCCCATAAAGATTGACAGTCTGGGAGACCCCCGGGAGCATGGCCCTCTTTAGGGTCGCTCTGAGGGAAATGGACTCAGCAGCAGGGAGTGGGCTCGGGTACTGAATAGGCATCTGATGAGCTAGCTCTTTTTTTTTCTCTTTCTCTTTTTTTAACATTTTATTAGGGGCTCATACAACTGTTATCCCAATCCACACACACATCAATTGTGTAGAGCGCATTTGTACATCGTCTCTCAAAACATTTTCTCTCCATTTAAACCCCCGACATTAGGTCCTCATTTTTCCCCTCCCTCCCCGCTCCCCCCTCCCGCATGAGCCCTTGATAGTTTATAAATGGGTATTTTGTCATATCTTGCCCTGTCCGACGTCTCCCTTCATCCACTTTTCGGTTGTCTGTCCCCCAGGGAGGAGCACACAGTTCCATGTAATCGTTTCCCTCTTTCCTACCCATTCTCCCTTTACCCTCCCTGTTTTGCCACTCACACCACTGGTCCTATAGGGCTCCTGATGAGCTAGCTCTTGGTGTGATTGCTTTTCGAGATCATTTTCGCTTTTCTTTTCAGATCTGTCCCATATGAAGAGAGGGTCTCTACATTGTTGAAATGGATGGATCTGCCCCCAAATGAAAGGTATTGTCTAGTGCCAGAGAAGTGCACAGTGTATTGAAATTATTTCCTTGCTTTAAATAACTTTTTGTAGAAAAATCCCCCTAGAATTGCTATTGAATCGGTCGTTCTGCTGAAGAGATGTGACTGACATATTAACAAGAGAGGTAGAGCTGGTATTAGAATAGAGGCAAATATTATAGAATTAGGTAAGGATCCAGGGTAGACTTAAGAGTGAATCTGAAACTCAGTGGAGAGAACTGACTCCAGGTAGCAGAACTCAGAACAAGGCCACAGGAACGGGCTGGGGTCAAGGTGTCCTGAGAAGGATCAACCGAAAATCCAATCTCCCTGACAGCAAGTTGGTTCTGATTCACCGTGACCCTAAAAGCACCAGGAAAAGAGTGTCTGAAACCAGACATGTGAAGCAAGACATAGGCAGGTATGGATGATACCAGAAGGCAGCACAAAGAGTTAGCAAGGCCATAAACCAGGAAACATAAAGGATTGAGCCACACCAAGAGAAGTCTTAAGACCAATACACATTTTTCACAACTGAGGCATGCCAGGAAAATACTATTTACTTCCTGATACAAGGTCTACCCCTTCTGCTTTGAAGTAGATGGCCTGGATGAAAGAAGACCAGGGAGAAAGAGAAGGCACAACCAATAGCAAGTTCTAGTTCTACGAAGCCCAAACTCCAATTCATAGGTTTATTCAATGTTGATAATGTGTTTTTCCTTTTCAATTTCACCATCAGACCCAGTTTTTATACCTTCTATGTGGAAGAGCCTGATTCTGCAGGACATAATGCTGGGCCAGTTAGTGCTGATGTAAGTTTGTTTAAAGACATTTAAATCACCCAGCCCTACTACACCCCCTAACTGAAAAATAATCTTTAGTTTTCACTGAACACTTAGATGTTAAAGATACGCACTGCCATTTAATTGATTCCTACTCATAGTGGCCCGGTGCAGGGTTTCTGACACTGGAAATGTTTCTCCAGTACAGCATCTGCTGACTTTGAATGCCATTCAGCAGCCCAAGGCCTAGCCCACAACTTCATCAAAATAGTTCTAAGTCCCAAAAGGATGTTAAATATTTACATGTTACTCTTATTTCATACAATGAAACATCAAAGCTCGATACTACACATGCCAATTCAACACAATAGTGTGACCCATTTCAACCAAAGTCCATTTTGGTAAATCTGACCGAATTTATGTACAATTCCATTCATGAGTTTCATTGTCATTGAACTTAAGCTAAAATTACTCCCTTTCTAGGTCCCTTTGGGCCCTATGTTATTAGTTGTACTATTATTCAATTGTGTTTTTTTTATTAACATAGTCTATCAGATTTCTACTACCACTACCCTCTGACTCATAGTGACCCTAAAAACAGAGTACTGTTACTTCCTAGAACTTTCAAGGCTTGAAATCTTTTTTTTTACGTTTTTATTGGCACCTAATCCACATGCCATATAATTCAATAGTTCAATCATTCAATCATAGCAAGAAGAATTATACAGTCATACCACAATCGATTTTAGTGCATTCCATCCCTCACCCCCCATGGTTAAATAGCCTTTTAATTGAGTTGTGTAATCACAATTAGTTCTGGTTTTCCCTCCTACCATCATTGTTTACTCCTGAAATCCCCTCACCCCTGTCTCCCACCCTATACCATCTATAAACCCTTGCTTCAGTTATTATCGCTATGCATTCACTCCTTCTGTGCTTCACAAACTGGGAAATCCAATAGACACTGTAAAAAACAAAATCGAAATAAATTGGTATGGATAAAATAATAATAATATAAAGAAAAAATACAAATAACGAGTTAGAAAGAAAAGATCACCCTCACTATTTAAAAAGCCAGGAAAGAAACTTTTTGTCGCGGAACACGCAAGAGATACTTGCACCTAGAACAAATGCAGGTTGGGTCCATAGGGAGGTCAGCGACCAAGTATCGTTTGAGCCAGCATAATCAAGATTAAAGTGATCTCTGATATTAGGGCTATTTGAGACCCTTCCCTGTGGCTACTGGGGTCTGCCGGAGGCTTCATCTAACTAGTTACTCTGCACATGGGTTTGGGGCTCACACTATCCTCCATAGCCTTCTACAAATTGGATTTTCACAATTTGAGCTCTGATACTTTTCCCTTCATCATATTTGAATTTTGTAATTGTCATCTTCAGATCACACACGCTGGTGTGCTTCTTCCATGTGGACTTAGTTGAGTCCTCACTTAGATGGCTGCTTGTTTGAATACAAGCATTTAAGACCCCAGACACTATTCTGATTGATAGCCAGTCACCATCTGCTTTCTTCACCACACTTTGCTGTAGCACCCTAACTTTCAGCGATCATTTTATGAAGATGAGTATCAAGCAGGGCCATGTTTTCAGAACTAACTGCTCTTGAATTGGAGCTAGGATTAAGTAGGAGCCCAGAATCCATCTGCATGTTCATGGGATATGCACAACTCAGGTTTACTTTGGTGGCCTTCATATGACATAATCAAAGCCCCATAAGACCAACTACAACAATAACAGCAACAAATGGAACAAACAAACAAACAGAAAAAGCAGGCAAACAAACAAAAACAACAAGCTAAAGGCCCCAAAACAAAGTCCCATAGGAACAAAAAAATAGAACTTTGTCAATCATCCCCTGGGGTGTAAGATGATTGCGCAGACAACATTGTCAATTTTCCCAAAGACAAGGCTGTAAATCTTTATGGGAGCCCGCAGGCCCCATCTTTCTCCCACAGCTTTTAACTATAGGTGTTAAATATTGTGGGTTATTTAAAAAGCCACTTTCTTTTCTCAGATCTTCTAAAGCCTATGTTTTCTTGGAAATAACATATAGCTGCAAAGCTCCCCACCCCCCCCTAACAATTGTCCTCACTGTAATTCTTTCAGCAAGTGGGCTTAATTGGAGAATATGCTTTGCCTTGTCTGGGAAATGTCCTTCTTCTTCCTTTGTAGGCCGGCATATTCATGGATCTTTTTATTTTAATTGTTGGTTATATTTCATGAGACAAGACATTTATGCCCTTAGCAGCATCTGGCATGTAAAATCAAGAAAGGTATTGTTACCATAATCCTATGAGAGATTAAGGAGCCCGGAAGGCACTGTTGTTACTTAAGCATTGCACTACTACTTCCAAGGTTGGTAATTCAAACCCACCAGCTGCTCTTTGGGAGAAAGTTGAGGTTACCTGCTCCCACCAATATTTACTGCCTCAGAAACCCTATACAGGGTCGTTATGAGTCAGGCCGTGGAATACGAGCTTAAGTGTGGTTTTCCACTGATATTACAATTTCTTATTCACTGAGAAAGGCTGTTCAATGCACTCCATTGATATTATAGTGTAGGACCATTTAAAAACACAGAAGGGTATGGACTATAAAATTAAACTCCAATTGCACTATTCAGAGCCAACCCCTCTTATAACAGTGTGAAGCATTTCCTTATGGCTTTCTGTGTGTGTGTTTTCAAGACTGTGCTAAAGGTACTTGAAAACAAAATCAGGAGCTTGCAACATGCATGTATGTGGTATGCATGAGCCTACCTCGGAGATACTGTGAACTTGGTCCCAGACCACTGTGTTAAGACAAATATGACACGCAGGAGAGTCACGCAATCTTTTGTTTTCCCAGCGCATATAACATTTGTGCTTGCACTATATTGTAGTCTATGAAGTGTGTGCTACCGTTATGAAAGCGTTCGAAATCTTGCGAGCATGACTGAAATGTGCCACAGAGACAAGAGGTAAAAGCACATGCTGCCACAAAGTGCCGCCAACAGATGTGCTCAACAAAGGGTTGCGGTCCAATTTGTAAAAAACACAATGTCCTGCAAGTTCAAAAAGTGAGACACAGTAAACGGAGTTATGACTGTACTATTTGGTTTCTTTGTTTCTTTTTTATTATGTTTAACATGGGCTTGTGAACATTTTCCCATGGCATTTTTCTTTTAAAATCTTTGCTAATGTTTAAAGAATATACCTTTGAAGAATGGGCCATGATTTCTTAGTCCCTAGATAAGGGGATGAATAGCCTGGCTAGTCTCCACTTATTTGTGTTCTGGTTACTTACCTCGGACCAATCCCCAGAAGTAGAGTCATTTGGTTCCCAGGTATGTAAGCACATTGCTAACCTGATCCTCCAGCTGGTGTGCTACAGATCACACCACCCCTTCCTGGAACTGAGCACAGCCAGGCAAACATGTGCAGCTGAATTGTGTTTGTGAACGTTGTGTGTTGTTTCATATATCGATTAGGCAGTAGAGCGTCTCCGTTTTTAAGCAACGTGGTTTAATTTGCTCTAGAGCAGTGGTTCTCGACCTTCCTCATGCTGTGACCCTTCAATACAGTTCCTCATGTGGTGGTGACCTCCCCAACCATAAAATTATTTTCATTGCTACTTCATAACTGTCATTTTGCTACTGTTATGAATCGGGCGGCCCCTGTGAAAGGGTCATTTGACCCCTAAAGGGGCCGCGACCCACAGGTTGAGAACCACCACTCTAGAGATTTAGGGAATTGGGGTTGGTAAGGGAGGTGACGTGGATGCTAGACTCTCATGCACTATTTCAAAGACGACGAATTTGAGCAAAGTAACGGTGTTTAAGTTGAAATCAATTAGATAATGATTTGGTTAATTAAAACAATTCATAAATGGAATGTTAATTCCAACTTTTGTTCCATAGGTAGTTCAAGCCTTACAGTTGGTCGATCAAACTTTTGGAATGTTGATGGAAGGCCTAAAACAGCGGAATCTACACAATTGTGTCAATATTATCCTTTTGGCTGATCACGGTATGCTTTTTGTTATCACAAACCCAAATTCAAATCAATCCCACGCCATCAAGCCAATTCCAACTCACAGCAACCCTACAGGAGAGAGTAGAACAGTTCCTGTGTCTGAGGCTTAAATTCCGTACTGGACCAGGCAGCCTGATCCCTCAAATGACCCAGCTGCTGGGTTTGGATTTAGTAGTCTAGCACTGAACCCACTGCATCACTATGACTCCTTTTTGATATCATAGTTTACCATACCTTATCACTCTAGGGAGTGTATATTTAAAGTATGTGCTTCCGGATCTAGAAGCACTTGAATAATTTAATTTTGTTGTGTACAGGGAGCCCTTGGGGGCATCATGGTTATTCACTGGGCTGCTAACACAAATGCCAGCACTTGGAACCCATCAGCTGCGCCTCGGGAGAGCGATGAGGCTTTCTCCTCCCGTGAAGAGGGACAGTTGTGGAAACCCACAGGGGCAGTTCTGCCCTGTCCTCTGGGCTCACACTGTGAGTGGGAATCAACTGGATGGCAGGGAGTCTGTTTGTTTTGTTGTTTGCTAATGAATGCAGGACTAAGATAAAACGTTCTACTTCAATTATTTTAACATTTCTCTTGGAAACCCTCCCATGGACTCTGTAAAAATGGAGGCAAGAGCACTTGCCAGGTTTATGGTGAAGCATTTATTCAGTCCCAGCAAGTGCTTTATGGCCGGTGACTCAGTTATATCAGCTTGTTGGCTAGTTTCACACTGTTGTGTGCAATTTTTTCATATCCTTTTTAAATTTTTTGTTTGAAACCAACTTGCATGTCACAGAAGAATCTCAGTCTGTTTCCAATTTACTTTTTTAAAAAAATCATCATTCAGACCAATGTTTAGATTTGGTGGTGAAGGAATCAAAGGGTCTTTACGGCTGGTGCCCCTTTCTCTTTCTCTCTCTCTGACTTTTAAAATGTTAGCTTTGTTTATGTATTTACATATAATTTTCCACTTTAGTTTGTGGAATCTAATAGTAGAATATAGTCACATAACCCATCTCAGTGAATCAGTAACAGTATCCCATTCAGTCCCTCAGATAGGTGAGTTTTTTTGTAATCATCGTTTCCATTTACAAAGTTTTGGTCTTTCCCCATGTCTCTCCTTGAGGTTAACTCTTGATTTCATTCCATTTGAGTGTTCAAGGGAGCAGAAGGTCTGCTGCATCCTTTCCCACATCACACTGAAGGCCCTCCCTCAATTTAAAAGCATATGTTCATTCAGCATATACTTTTTCCCTCCAGCAGTTTATTGACATATAGTTCACATAGCATATAATTCAATAGTCTGCTCACATCAAGAATAATTGTACAATCATCACCACAGTTAGCTCTAGGACAATTTCTCCATTCTTGTGCTCATCGTTATTGGCTTCCTATTCCCCCTCAACCTCTCCTGCCACACAACCAAGGGACCATTAATCTAGTTACTCTCTCTGTAGCGTTACCTATCCTGGATTTCATATAGAGAAAAATATTAAAACAAACCAACATTAACAAGAATAACAAAATGGCTAAAAACTTCAAGCAAATAGAAAGCAGACAATATTAAAAACTAGAACAAATTTAAATGGATCATAAGGAAGATCGAGTCTTCTGGGCAACAAGGCCGAGAGCCAGTCCAGCGTGCATGAACCATATATCATTCTCGCTAAACGTACCTCTTACAACCGGCTTCGACAAAGGAGGCTTCATTTCAGCTGGGGTCAGTGTTTCAACCTGTGGGAGAGGGAGAAGACTTCAGCTTAAGTGCTACTACTTCTGGAATGTTCAAAGCCGACATGGACCTTTTCAAGATGGAGTGTCTTGCAACATCCTCTCCAAAAGGACAGTCATGTCTTAGTTCCACCAGCTTCGGGGGATGTTTTTGGTTTTCACTTTCAGATTTAAATATTACATCAGGCATCCCCTATAGATAAGTTCCATCAAGCACAGTGCTCTAGGCTGACCTTCTTTACCAGAGAAGCGGAACTATTGTTTGTTTTACAACTTGAGAGAAGGTTAGATCTGGGCTATAGCGTTTGCTTGTTTGGGGGTGGGGTGCAGGGGGAGTTATGCAGACTCCATGGCTCCAGAAAATCTAGAACTCAGAGAAATTTTAAATCCTAGTTGACATCTTCTCCCTTTCGACCTACATGTTGCTTTTTTAGTTTAACAATATGTGTTTCTTTATGTACAGATCAGACACTCTAAGTCTTGTTTTAGCCTGCAATAGAGATTTTCTTCAAAATAATTTAACGAATCTTCATTGAGCACAAGATCTAGTTATAACTGCCTATGTCTCATAAGTACATATGACTTTTTTCTCCATTGCCACTAGTTTGAAGTTCTGCAATTTAGAGTAAAATATAGGATTCATGATTTATATCACCATGAAACATAGTTTGAGATCTTGATGTGATCAAAGGCCATAGGTTGTTCCTAAATAAATATATTCTGCATGTGATGTTTGTTTTTGATTCAGGAATGGATCAAACTTACTGTGACAAAATAGAATATATGACAGATTATTTTCCCAAAATAAACTTCTACATGTACGAAGGGCCTGCTCCTCGCATCAGGTCTCGGAATATACCTCAAGACTTCTACACCTGTAAGTATAAAGAGTCCCATATGAAAGACATGGCCACATATTAGTACCCCAATGCTGTGAGGGTATAAGGTGCTTTAAGGCCTATCTTCTGACCTCTGGGAAGACCATACGAAAACATATAAGACATTCTATGTATCGGTATCATCTACACATCCTATGGCAAAAAACAATATTGTTAGGTTAAAGTGTTTTCTCTTCTTACATCCCCAATCATTCTTTGCTTAAAATAATCTTTTATTTGATTTTTCCCAGGTCATATTGTTGCCATGGGTTGAGTCAGTTCCACCCCATAGCCACCCAGCGCACAACAACAAAAAACACTGCCCGGCCACGTGGCACCCTCACAATCCTCCTTGTTGTTGAGCTGCCCAATTGAGGCGGCCACTGGGTTCATCCAATCCCAGGGGGCTTCCTCTCTCTTTTTTGCCGACCCTCTCTCAGCATGGTGTCCTTCGCTAGGGATGGTTCCTCTGGAAAAAGCACGTCTATGATACATTAGGTGAAGACTCGCCATTCCTGCTTCTCACAAGCACGCTAGTTATACTTCTCCCAATGCAGGTTTGGGTGTTCTTTTGACAGTGCACACGGTAGCCAATATTCTTCCCCCAAACCATAATTCAAAGACATCAGTTTTACTCTGGTGCCCCTTATTCATTGTCCAGAGTTCACACACTTATTACCTGATTGAAAATACCATGGCGTGGCCAGGTGCCTCTTAGTGACGTCTGTGCTCTTTAACCCTTTAAAGAGGAGTCCAGCAGCAGATCCCTCAAACTGGGAGAAAGACGGGGCTTTCCACTCCCATGAAGACTTTCAGTCTCAGACAAGCACAGGGCAGTTCTCCTCTGTCCTGCGAGGTCGCCACAGGTCAGAACAGACTCCGTGGCAGGGGTTCTTTGGTTTGGTTTGGGCAGCGGATGTGCTGATCACAGGATGCAGTTTGATTCATCGAGCGCTGCTTCCAAAAGCCTTAATTGTGGATCCAAGTGAAATGCAATTGTGGGAAATGTCCATCTCTTCTTCATGTACCACGATGTCATTTATTGGTTTGGCTGTGAGGATTACGAGGCCACGTGGTTGTGGTGGCCGGCTGCCATGGAGCCAGTTCCCACCCACAGTGACCCTGTGCACCACAGAAGGACACGTGTCCTGGCAATGGTTCCGACGCTGAGCTGCTTGTTGCAGCCACTGTGTCCATCCGTCTCGTGGAGGGCCTTCCTCTTTTTCTTCGCCTCTCCACTGTACTCAGCACGTCTCCAGGGACTGGTCTCTCTCACATGTCCAAAGTGTGTAAAACAAAGTCTCATCTTCCTTGCCTGAAGGAGCCCTCTGGTCGGACTTCTTCCAAGATAGGCCGGCTTGCCCTTGTAGCAGTCCATGGTACTTTCAATATTCTCCAGCACCACATTTCAAATGCATCGGTTCTTCAGTCTTCCGTATCATTGTCCAAATGTCACATCCATATGAGGCAATGGAAAACACGATGGCTTGGGTCATGCGTACATTAGTCCTCAGGGTAACATTCTTGCTTTTCAATGCTCTAAAAAGGTCTTGGGCAGCAGATTTAACTAAGGCAACATTTCTTTTGATCTCTCGACTGCTGCTTTCATGAGCATTGATAGTTGATCCAAACAAGATACAATCCTTAGTAACTTCAACCTTTGCTCCATTTATCATGCTGTCACCTACTGGTCCCGTTCGGAGGAATTTGGTCTTCTTTACATTGAGTCATAATCCATACTGAAGGCTGCAATCCTCGATCTTCATCAGCAAGTGCTCCCGGTCCTCCTCATTTTCAGCATGCAGGTTGTGATCTCTGCATGCCACTGGCTGTTAATAAGCCACCCTCCAATCCCGACGCCACATCCTTCTTCGTACAATCCAGCTTCTCTGACGATTTGCTCAGCATGCAGATTGAACAAGTGTGGTGAGAGGATACAACCCCGATGCTCACCTTTCCTGATTTTAAACCACGCAGAATTTCCCTTGGTGGGTTCACAGAACTGCCTCTGGATCCAGTACAAGTTCCTCATGAGCACATACTCATTAGTAAATGTGTCAATTCACTGGAGTTGTTTCGATATTTGTATTAATGGGATGTGATCTTTTCTTTTGAAACAGTTAACTCTGAAGAAATTGTGAAGAACCTCACAGTAAGTATACAGTCTCCTAGAACCATTTATTTAATGTAATGTGACGGCCTTAACAAATTGGGTTTCAGATGATAAATTATAGATAAATTTATTCCATATTTGAGTCCAAACCACTGGTAATATGTTTTTCTTAAACCCCTGCTAACGTTATTTTCAATGTAGATCTTCGGTTGCTTCCATCTTAGTGTTTTTGTTTTGGAAGTGACACCGCGAGAGGAAGTGCGTGTGGGGTCACTGCAGCTCTGACGCCCAGGGTTTGCTGAGCTGGTGGGTGTCACATCCCACATGGCTGGGCTTCAGACAACTTCACTTTTCCCTTTTTGTGTGTGACTTTCTACCAGAAAAATCACAGGTTCTTATTGATCTCTTGGTACTGATTAGTAACATCCTCTTCTTGCTTCCAAAATATAGAGAGTTGCAACCACTTTTGATTGGTTCTCCTATTCTGGTTTTAAACAGGACAGAGGCGAGATAGCTTCAAAGCAGGGTCCTCTCTGTTAGAGACATTGGAAATGCTTTCATATGGCAATTTTAATTGCTATTACTTGAAGTATTCACAGGTATACATCTTGTATATATGGAATTTATGAGTTTGATATTGCTTGGAATGAACTAAATTTAGATACAGGTAGTTTACAGGTATAGCAAAAATCTTGAGAATGGATTTGAAAGATAAAAGGAAACACCGGATAAAGAATGTTTAATATAATGTGGGACCTATTTTAAGTTTGAAGGTCTAATGACCATTGGAACAAAAATCCTTCGGTATTTTAATCACTCCTACTTTCCCTTAGCCTGGTTAATGTACTGATCTTTGGGAGTACACATGAGGAAAAAAATATTGATAAGTAAAAAAGGAGAAAAGAAAATAGGGAAGAAAAAATTGGCAAAAAACACATCTGTAACAATTACAATTTTCTTTACTCTTTCATTTTATAACTAAGTTTCTCTGCTCTCTCATTTTATTTTTAAATTGTGTTTATTACATTTCATCACTTCTCATACTTTGTCTTCTATAAATTGAGCATAGGTACCACTGACACGGGCTTATTAGTATGGTGAGATATTGAGGTTTAAAATTAATGAGAAATTTGGGGAAATGGAAAAGAGTCATTTTCCTCATGTTCTTATCTGTATGTTTATTTTTGTCCTTGTTTCTCAAAAAGGTTCTGAAGGAGCATAAAGTTTCCCTGTTGTTTGATTTCTCATTTACTCATTTTTTTATGTGAATAGATACCAAGGTGATTTGAACTTCACAAAGTTTTTCAAACATACCATCTGGCTACGGCAATCATTTTAAAGAAACAATGTTTTATGCCAATTTTGACATGATCACCATTTTCTAAAAGGAGACAATACTAGGTTTTGAAAGCTTTTGACTTGAAGATGACGCGAATTGGGGTGCTTAAAGGATCCATTGAGTCAATGGGGAAACAATTCTTGGTTTAATTATACTGATTTAAAAGTGTTTACTCATGTTTATGTTATTTTATATGCTTTTCATATGTAATTTATACTCAAAGGTTGCAATGACCCCCTAAATCTAGACTTCCTACTTATAGTCTCTGCCCAAGAAAAAGAGAAGATTTATGGGGGTTTAAAATATGTATACCAAACATCAAACACCAAATCATAATTTATATCAGATTTTTTATTTTAGTCAAAACATAACAATATAATTAGAGGACATGAGTATCTTAACAATAGGTCTAAGTTTCTATTTTCAGAACGGGCTTAAATCTCCTTTTCCTTTAAATAAATGCTTATTAAATAGCCTAAGGAGTCCTGGCTGTGCAGTGGCTAAGAGGCTAACGGAAGGGTCAACAGTTCGAGCCTCTCAGCTGCCCCTCTGGGGTAAGTTGCTGCCGGGGCTTCTGTAAAGATTCCATCAAACTCTCATTCCGCGGATTCTGACTCAGAGCCGCCTGGGCCGTTTCTGAGGCTGTGAATCCTTCCCGGAGCTGAGAGCATCCCCTGTCTCCAACACAGAGACTGGTGGATTTGAACCACTGACTTTGTGGTTAGCTTCGTCCGTAGCTCCACCAGGGCTCTTGAAAACACCAGGGGCAGTTCAACTCGGCCCTTCGGGTTATTAAGCATCAGAATGGGCTTGGCCGCACACTACAACAAGAAGTCGGTTTAGAAGACGAGCTTGCGGAACGGGCTTGCCTCCTGATGTGTCATAAAGAAACAATGCCTTCTTTTCCAGTGCCGAAAAGCTGGCCAGCATTTCAAACCATATTTGACGCCCGATTTACCGAAGCGACTGCACTACGCCAAGAATGTCCGGATCGACAGAGCCCATCTCATGGTGGATCGGCAGTGGCTGGCTGTGAGGTCTGGGGCTCTATTTGTTTATCTCATGATATTTTTGACAGCCACTCTCATTATCAGTGTGCTTAACCTTCTTCTGCGACTACGTTCACATCTTTTTCCTGAGTGTTGACATTTTCTTGACCTTTAATGTGCCCAGTAGATTAGCAACGGCAGCTTGCCAATCTTGAGGGCATAAACGAGAATCAGGCAGCGTCTGAGACTCTCCCTGCTGTGGGCAGCGCATCCCTGACCGTGCTGTGGCCTCTTTAGGAGGCAGTCAGCCAGAGGATGCTGGCCCCTTTCCAGGCTGGTAGTCAGTCAGCGACTGGAGGGCTCTTTAAAATCTTAGTCACCATGCTGAGTTTTTTTATAAGGACCCACTCTTAGGCCAAGCTAAACAATTAGGTTTATCATTTATTTATTTTTTCTAATTATAATTGTGATCCATGTTCACCATTGAGCAGTTGCAAAATTTGAGAGTGCTTGAAGAAAAAGAAAAAAAAGGAATCTTTTCATCCTGAAAAACCAGTGGAGTCAGCCAAATGGGATTCACTGCTTTCTCTGGACGGCCAGGCCTTGCTGTCAGCACCTGGGAGGCAGACGTGAGTCCTGCCTGCTTGGATGCCTCAGTCTGTCCTGACACTGACAAGAGACCAGTAAACAAGTAAATAGACACATCCTGGTCAATACATCGTGGAGGTCTGGCCTGGTGGTGCTCAACAGTTAACCCAAAAGGTCTGCAGTTCAAACCCACCAGCCACACTCCTGGAGAGCGATCAGGCCGTCTGTTTCCTTAAGGAGTGCAGCCTTGGAAGCTCGGTGGGCAGCACGTCTTCTCTTTCCTATTGCATAGCTATGAGTTAGAGTCAACTCAATGGCTATGGGCTTTGTGTATTTTTAGTAGCTGAATTAACGCTTCCTATTTTTTGTGCTTCATACTAGTATTCTTTCGCGAGTACATCATCATCTTGAGAGTAGCTCCCTGGCTTCCTTTATGTTGTGCTATATGCTCTCATTAACTGCCATCGAGTCGATGCTGACTCATCAGACCCTATATAGGATATACTTGCCCCT